CTATACGAGAGATTGGTAGCGGCAAGCGAGTTTCGCCCAGACAACTTTAAGGACATATTGTCCAGAGTGGCTGTCCCGCGTTTCTTATTATTTATTTTTTTGCATTTTCTGATTCGGATAAGTGAGTCATATTTTGATCATATGACGAATTTTCATCAAGATACATGTACATAATTTTTCTGCATCCAAATTTTTGTTGACTCTCTGTTGGTGTTTTTTTTTCAATATTGAGCCTCTTATAATTTGTTACATAGTTGAAGTAGTTCTAGAGCATTTTTGTCTACACTTAGACTATCTGAAATGTCACTTTAAAAGCTGTAGTTTGAATGTCAAAGAAATTAATTTCCAGGTTGCTGTTGACAAACTTATTGTTCATTTTTAATTCAATTTTTTGTTTCAATACAACACAGTAAGTTTTTCTTTATTATTTAGTTGATGTGTATGCCTTTGGCAAAGCCTTATTCTCTTGCCTTTTCAAAATCAAAGGTGATGATACCTGTGACAGTAATACAGTACGAGATGTGTACATCAACATGTGCCTCCTACAAATAAAGACTTCTTGTTGTTTTTTTGATACACTGTACTCTGTGATTCAATTCGTAATACCAGCATAGTAGTCCTATGGTTTTAGCAGCATTTTTTTTTTTGGCAGGATTTTTTTTTCGCCCTCTCGCATTAGTTTTGGGGTCTCCAGAGGATGTCATCCATAAAATTAAATCAGTGTAGCCTTAGATGAATTGCGATGAGCAACCAACTGTGAGATACAGTAAATATGCAACTCACTCATGGGCAAACGGTCGCACCACGGTCGAACCCTCGGTGTACGCATAGTAAAACAGGGTATACAGGAACGGCAACAGTCTGTATCTTTCCAAAAGATAATATCTGATGTTGTCAATGACGTCATCACTCCATACAGTTGGATGTTGATGCTGAAATGATATCGGTTTGGAACCATTTCGTACAAAAAAAAAACAGTTACTAACGAATAGGCTTTCCATGTCGCCTCTGTGTTATACTGTGATGAGAGTATACAATCGGCAAGTAGTGTACTTACCCGGGGGCATTACATTGAAATGGGTCTCGTTTTTTGGATATTAGGTTATAAGTATCGGTCTTATTTCTGGTCAAGATATGAATATAATGTATATATACCGGTAATATTTCACGGTGTTTCTATGGTCAAATTCCAAATTTTAGTAAATCAATATACAATGCAGCTGTTGACTTACATGTACTTATATTGGATATGCCCTTCTAATAGAGCAAATAAGGTAACTGTTTTATTTGGTATAAACAATGATGACAGAAAAGATACTTTGATATAAATATGGGTATAGATTTTGCCACTATCCAGGTATAAAAATAGTCACATTTTTGAGCACTCAGGGGCACCTCCCTACCAAGTTATGTATCAACTGCACACCCCCTACCCCCCGGTGTAGTTACCGTCCAGCCGTCTGCATTATGGTTCCTGGAATATGGATAGAATGCTCCGAGTTGCTGCCATCGCTGACACATTGATTCTGTGGTGTTGTACCAAAATCCACAAATATCGGCACCAATCTAATATGAAGAGAAATGCAAAGCTAACGTGGCAGTCAAAAAAAATATACGAATATGAAGTAATATGTTATAATGAATTTGATATATTTATCGAGGCAATGATTAGAATTATGGTAACCAAAAACTTACGTAAGGAAACCCAAATAAAGCATATTCCAACATTCCTATAATTTAAAAGAAAAAAATGAATAGATAATGTAGAAATATTAACATACCATTTGCAACAAAAAAAAACAATGGTCGTTACTACAGGTAACACCAGAGCGCCGCAAAATGACTACTTGGCCTAGTCACCAATTAGGGCGGTTACAGAGTGTGTAAATTAATAATATTATGTATTATATTATGTTTTCCCGATTATGAATTTAGCGCCCCACTTGTCCGAAATGAAAACAAGACTATTACAAGTTCTAGTAACAAAAGTTGCAACATTTGATAAACACAAAGAATGCTGGCGCCGCGCGTTATGTTCAGTTAATAACAATTGATGTCGTTCACTATTAGAGAACCACGGTCTACACTGATAGGTTGCCTGGACGATATTCCACCATAAGCCGATTCACCTGCATTTGTATGATTGGGTTTTTATATAAACAGAAATTGTTGCGCTATTGTAAACATCGCTTAGTGCTTATCAATCACATCGCAATTACTTTACACTTACTGTAACCGTAATTAGTAACTGCTCAGCTTTTACCTCTACTACATATTCTGTACTGACAGGACAAATGATACATTGCATTGCGATTTATTGTAAACTAAAGCGCTGTTTTGTTTTGGGAGCGCACAAAGTATTTGTTCGATGAATAATTAAAGTACGCACACGTGCATGCGTTCTAGATTAATAGTACATACCAAAAACTCAATCTCAGTTAAATTTGATAGCTTGCCCGAGCTACATTTTACAGAAACATAGTGAGAGAGTATACGTACCTACAACGGACCATGGTATCTGTCGCCATTGGCTTTGATTATCGCCCAGCCAATGACCGGAAAAGTGACCAGTTCCCGCAAACTGGGATCGAGTTAACACCATGCTGCGTTTATTAGGAAAGATTGTCTTCAGGGTTCTGTTTAAAGAAAATAAACAGTAATTATAACTACAAAATACGTTGTTTACATTACAAACTATGTAGTGTGTTCAACAACTCATGTATGAACAATAACTTTAATAAATATGATCTTACTTGTTAAAAAATATTTTTCTGCATAAAAACGAAAGAATTTTACAATGTCGAAAACGGAAAGTCATTATCGCAGTGTATATATATATTGAATTGAATATAATCTAAGTAATATGTTAGTTACAGATGTCATACGTACTCAAATGTCATGACTGACATGCTGTGTCCATACAAGCTGTGTAAGTCATAGTGCAAACCCGAATGTTGAACAGAGTCCATGCATATGGTTTTATCATACATCAAATTACCGAGAATTCCTGTAAAAGGTACAAACGAACATCAACAATATCGATTTTGACAATTAGATTTATCTTGTCGCGATATTGGCGAAAACTAAACGGCTTGACGAATCTTAGAAACATTTACTAGTAAATCTTGAACCAATTTGCGTCTTTTGAGGCACTTTTAGATTGATGCTCATTTTTTTTTCTTTTTAAAGGTGATACATCAATGTAACTTTTGTATAAAGCTGTAAAGTTGTCAATAATCTGTTTTCGCTGGCACACTCAAAAGTTGTCCGAGCATACCAGTTCTATCGGAAATTATAATTTTTCAAGACCGTATTTTCATTGCGTTATGTGATGTACATATTTATAAAGGTTGCAGACATGTATTTATCTAATGTTTCCGCACAGTTCCCACATGTTTCTCGACAGTAGAAAACAAATTCTAGCGCAAAGAGGGTGATTATTCAAATTAGCAAATATCTTAAATATGGCACTCAACAAGAAATTCAATTTGAAATTGTTTCAACAACTCTTGTCCGATTGAGATCTGCAAATACCATTCCCTTTCAGTTTTTTTGTTTGCATTGTGGCATATCTTAATATAAACAGAACAAATTTAAAACTTCCATAAAATGTAGTCTATACAATTTCATTTAATCGTTGCATCAAAACGACTGCGAATAAAAAACAAATCATTTCGACACGGTTCTTCTATTTGTAAACAGATGCGTTGAATAACGTCAGTCAGCATATAATCGGATAACACTTTTCAGTTCAAATTATTTGTTATGATTGTAACCACAAATACATGTACTGTTTTATGCAATAATTGGGCTCATTTCACGAATAAAAAAAAACGCCATTTTTGATAAACTGCCAATCTTCAGCTTTCTGAATATATACAAATCAAATCTCACAATTTCATCTATCCATTTGAAAAAGTGATAGAAAAGGTGCATCTCGTTCTTGAATATATGAGCGCTATACTTACTTGGTAGATATGGAGGAAAGTTGAATGAGTTTTTATTACATGAAGGGTTTGATGTGGAACCTGGGACAAAATTCGAGGGCTCGTTCATATCCTAATGAAAAAAGTATATCACGGATGAGAGATTATAATTATTTATAAGTTGAATATTATTTATTGACTCATTGTTTGCCGTCCAATGTACCCCGGGTAATGTACTTACAATCCATAGTGCGTCATAAGGAACATCATCGTGGAAGTCCTTACAGTGATTAGTCCACCAAGTCTGAGTAACGGGGTTTGTGAAATCCGGATAGTACGTCTTCCCTGGCCACACCTATAACAACAATAGCGTATATATATATGCTTTTATGCATATGCTGGGTATATATATATATATATATATCATTTCCATTGAAGTTCAAGTTACAACTGAAAAACATTTTTGTTTGGGCACCTGAACTGAAAGTTCTTTGGGTTGGATTTTATCTCGTTATTTTGTGTTAGTATAAGGTTATTATATGGTCTATTCGATGGCCT